TTTAGTATATTTTTTGCAGCTAATATATATCAGCGTAAGAGGTTTTTCTACAAAAATGTATTATTCAAAAATCTGAAATGCAAAAATGCCTGTTACTATGAAAGATCTTCTAAGAGAGATGCATCAGCTAACCAGTTAAAATGTCGGTTATTTAGTTATTATGCGTAAAGCCTTACTCTATGTAAATTAACCAGCCACTAGCTTTAGCATGTATAGCAAATTATTGATTGCTAAAATCAATTTTCAATGACACTTGGCAACAGGCATGCTTCCACCGCTGACCCTTTGCAATCTGAACTCTGACCGACAATAGCCCAATATACACACACTCTCTGTCTGGTAAAGTGTGATATACTGTGTTTATCGCCTCCAGTTTATTTTGTATATTATTATCTACTGTAAAACAATTGTACCAGCTCGTTGACATGTTAGGCTGAAGTAACAGACATCGACTGATGTTTACATTCTTAAAAATATCATGCGGAAAACCACAAACATTTTTTTTTCGTAGTCATTTTATTGGCACAACAATTATTTTTAGCTCTTATATCATTGCGAGCAATTCCAACTTACAGTTTTAAGATGTCCCCAAAACCAATGCGCTTCTAAGTTGGACTTAAATGGTTTGACCAGTTGACAGAAGGTGTAGTACCTCCAAAGTATCGGAATGACAATCCAGAATCCGTAGCCAACTAATAGGGCTAGGACAATTTCAACCAATCCTGTGATACATGTGTATATATTCATACATTGTGTTGATAACTTGAATACCGCCGCACAGAACAAGAAAAATAAGTGAAATAAATCACAAGTATTCAGGTTCTGGAACATTTGTGATATATTTAGGTATCGCACATTACTATACTAGTAAAGAATTGGGTTCCAGAATATATTTAACGTAATAAGTTTTAGTATTGTACCCCACTATACTAATATAACACATCGAAATGACATGAAATCAGACCGTGATGCGAAAACACTGTGTATGCAGGGACATATTTTATATAAAATTTATTATATCTTTTTAGTACAAAATATATATTGCTATATGTAAAATATTTAAGAACAGGATGAATTAGTATAGGTAGTGCGGTTGTGACGGAGCTACTGGTTTGTCGTTTGAGTTTAAAAGCATGACGTAATGCTCTTAATTCTATTTAGTTTAATTATATATAATTATTTTATTGCATGTGTACAATCACAAGACTTTCACTCTTCAATCACAATTCACATGTTGTCTCTCTAACGTACGTCCCAGGACTGTTCCTCTATCACAATTCACATGTTGTCTCTCTAACGTACGTCCCAGGACTGTTCCTCTATCACAATTCACATGTTGTCTCTTAGGAATGTTCCTCTATCACAGTTCACATGTTGTCTCTCTAACGTACGTCCCAGGAATGTTCCTCTATCACAATTCACACGTTGTCTATCTAACGTACGTCCCAGGAATGTTCCTCTATCACAATTCACATGTTGTCTCTCTAACGTACGTCATAGGACTGTTCCTCTATAACAGTTCACATGTTGTCTCTCTAACGTACGTCCCAGGAATGTTCCTCTATCACAATTCACATGTTGTCTCTCTAACGTACGTCATAGGAATGTTCCTCTATCACAGTTCACATGTTGTCTATCTAACGTACGTCATAAGACTGTTCCTCTATCACAATTCACATGTTGTCTCTCTAACGTACGTCATAGGACTGTTCCCCTATGACAATTCACATGTTGTCTCTCTAACGTACGTCCCAGGACTGTTCCTCTATCACAATTCACAGGTTGTCTCTCTAACGTACGTCTTAGAACTGTTCCTCTATCACATTTCACACGTTGTCTCTTTTACGTACGTCCTAGGACTGTTTCTCTATTACAATTCACACCTTGTCTCTCTAACGTACGGCCTATGAGTGTTCCTCTATCACAATTCACATGTTGTCTATCTAACGTACGTCCTAGAACTGTTCCTCTATCACAATTCACATGTTGTCTATCTAACGTACGTCCTAGAACTGTTCCTCTATCACATTTCACACGTTGTCTCTTTTACGTACGTCCTAGGACTGTTTCTCTATTACAATTCACACCTTGTCTCTATAACGTACGGCCTATGAGTGTTCCTCTATCACAATTCACATGTTGTCTCTCTAACGTACGTCCAAGGACTGTTCCTCTTTCACAATTCACACGTTGTCTCTCTAACGTACGTCCTAGAACTGTTCCTCTATCACAATTAACATGTTGTCTCTCTAGCGTACGTCCCAGGACTGTTCCTCTATCACATTTCACACGTTGTCTCTCTAACGTACGTCCTAGAACTGTTCCTCTATCACAATTCACATGTTGTCTCTCTAGCAGACGTCCTAGAACTGTTCCTCTATCACAATTCACATGTTGTCTCTCTAACGTACGTCCTGGAACTGTTTCTCTATCACAATTCACATGTTGTCCCTCTAACGTACGTCCCAGCACCGTTCCTCTATCACAATTATCATGTTGTCTCTCTAGCAGACGTCCTAGAACTGGTCCTCTATCACAATTCACGTGTTGTCTCTCTAACGTATGTCCTAGAACTGTTCCTATATCACAATTCACATGTTGCCTCTCTAACGTACGTCCAAGGACTGTTCCTCTTTCACAATTCACACGTTTTCTCTCTAACGTACGTCCCAGCACCGTTCCTCTATCACAATTATCATGTTGTCTCTCTAGCGTACGTCCCAGGCCTGTTCCTCTATCACAAGTAACATGTTGTCTCTCTAGCGTTCGTCCTAGAACTGTTCCTCTATCACAATTAACATGTTGTCTCTCTAACGTAAGTCCCAGGACTGTTCCTCTATCACAATTCAAACGTTGTCTCTCTAACGTACGTCCATGAACTGTTCCTCTATCACAATTCACATGTTGTCTCTCTAACGTACGTCCTAGAACTGTTTCTCTATCACAATTCACATGTTGTCTCTCTAACGTACGTCCGAGGACTGTTCCTCTATCACAATTCAAACGTTGTCTCTCTAACGTACGTCCATGAACTGTTCCTCTATCACAATTCACATGTTGTCTCTCTAACGTACGTCCTAGAACTGTTTCTCTATCACAATTCACATGTTGTCTCTCTAGCGTACGTCCTAGAACTGTTCCTCTATCACAATTCAAACGTTGTCTCTCTAACGTACGTCCTACAACTGTTCCTCTATCACAATTCACATGGTGTCTCTCTAACGTACGTCCTAGGACTGTTCCTCTATCACAATTCACATGTTGTCTCTCTAACATACGTCCCAGGACTGTTCCTCTATCACAATTCAAACGTTGTCTCTCTAACGTACATCCTAAAACTGTTCCTCTATCACAATTCACATGTTGTCTCTCTAACGTACGTCTTAGAACTGTCCCTCTATCACAATTCACATGTTGTCTCTCTAACGTACGTCCTAGGACTGTTCTCTCTAAAGTACGTCCTAGAACGGTTCCTCTATCACAATTCACATGTAGTTTCTCTAACGTACGTCCCAGGACTGTTCCTCTATCACAATTCACATATTGTCTCTCTAATACGTCCCAGGACTCTTCCTCTATCACAATTCACATGTTGTCTCCTTAACGTACGTCCTACAGGACTGTCAGACTGAACACTATGTCACCAAAACATTTCATATCGCACTCTTGGACCACATAAAAAAGTATGTTCCCATGACACTGGTACTTTTCATTCAGCATTTCTCCCTAAATGTCCTACCTAAATTGTCAACTTTCAACGCTTTCATAAAATTCAATAAGTCAATAAGTCCGAAACCATATTTAACCCTTACCAAGAAAATTGTAATAATATCAAAGTGCAAGATTTACTCATGTTTTGAGTAAGAAAGTATATGTCAATAATTACTTATTTTCATCTTGCGGATTTTGCACAAAAATTATTTCAATCTTAGTATGTGTGCATGTAAATCCATACAGAATTCGTCTAAATAGGATACATTATTTAGATATATACGCAATTTGAGTTGAAAACAAAGGGACGGACAGACAAGCCATGATTATTACTTAAATGGCCCCCACATTCTCTCAAAAGATTAACGTAGGACACACATAATAAGTGATTACATCCGTATCTGACACAGCTGTAACATCCATATATCCCGCACGGCGCCCCTCGACTGAGCGTATACAGATTGTTATTGTGTGTAGTCACGTGATGTCCAAATGAACACGATCGATAACACTGATGCTGGTCAGTCGCGGTCCTGGCTGGATCCTATATTGTTGAGCTTGATTTTTATAAGAATACAGAAACCAAACCAAATTTCCGGATTTCCTCCGACTAAATCCCATATTCTCATGATATATTTAAACCTATCTGGTTAATGATTCTAATAATAAAAAAAATAAACAATTTAGATATTAGATATATTTTGATCAATTACGCGTTACTCTCAGATTTTGAATTGCATTTCTACAGAGAAAAACATGTTTATGTAAAATAATAGGCCCATCATCCAAGTTTTAAAAGGACTTCTGTCTATTTGTCAAGACTTTAACTTTGGTTGTCAAAACTAGGTATAGTCAAGAAATGTTCAATGGTATGTTTTTATCATTCTATAACATCTTCAATGTAAGTCAATCATATAATGTTTAGCCTTACGTTACCAATACATTCATGTTACACCTGAAGAAAAAAGTCAATAGATCAACCCATCCAATTATAGTAGACACAAATATAAAGTATGTCACAAAAGTGTTGATCATTAGATACGCAATACAAAGCTCTTATCAAATACAGAGTTCGTTCCTATTCCATGAACTAATGTGAGATTTATCTCACACTGAACCAATGACAGATCGTTGTATGATATGGAAAAGCGTGGTTTACATGTAATAAAGACCTCCGCTGTCCCTAAAACAAACCTGCTCACCGATTTTATACATTTATACATTAAGATAACGTTCATATGACTTTAATTCAGATAAAGGACATATTACACAACACCGTGACTGATAACACACAGTCCAGAGTAAATAAAACAACATAACTAGATCTTCGTCAATGCACTTGACTTTGGCTGGACAAACCTAAATTACGACATCGCAATAATTCTAAGGTAAATATATGGTGCGATTAACTCTTTTATTGTGCTGTTAAAATAAGAAATATAGAAAGTCGATTTTAATTGAAAAATGCACCTTTCCATTCTTGTTAGAAATACATAGTGTAAACATTTTACCAATATGAGGTTAACCATAGATTGTGGTAAATCGATTGTTCGTTTGTGATCGATTGTTCGTTTGTGATCGATCGTTCGTTTGTGATCGATTGTTCGTTTGTGATCGATCGTTCGCTTGTGATCGATTGTTCGTTTGTGATCGACTGTTCGTTTGTGATCGATTGTTCGTTTTTGCTCGATTGTTCGTTTGTGCTCGATTGTTCGTTTGTGATCGATCGTTCGTTTGTGATCGATTGTTCGTTTGTGATCGATTGTTCGTTTGTGATTGATTGTTCGTTTGTGATCGATTGTTCGTTTGTGATTGATTGTTCGTTGGATTTACTATGTTTTAGTAGTGTCTCGTGATGTGTTTCTTCGGTAATGATGTCGATAACTTAGTTTTCGTCATCCCGATTTTAAATTATACTGTTACTTAGCTTTCTATGGATTGTCTATTAAGCAGTTTTCCTCCTAAAATTACTTAACGTGACACACTTTTTTAGCTGACTTATGACTGTTGGACTAGTTATTGACTGATGACTCATCACGTGACAAACTTATGTTACCCTTTTTACGTAATAAACTGTGTACCCTTTGACTGATGACTTATCACGTGATAAACTGATATTTGTCACCCTTCGACTGATGACTAATCACGTGCTAAACTGATGTTTGTTACCCTTTGACTGATAACTAAACACGTGATAAACAGATGTGTGTTACACTTTGACTGATAACCAAACACGTGATAAACTGATGTGTGTTACACTTTGACTGATGACTAATTATGTGTTAAACTGATGTTTAACTAATCACGTGATATATAATGTGTGTTACCCTTTGACCGATTACAAATGACGTGTTAAACTTGTGGTTGCTCCCTTTCGACTGTTTGACTGTTGGCGTGCGATTTATTCGAACGTAACTACTTTTCATTCATTTTCTTCGTGCGGTATGAATATCGACGTTTTTAGCTATGCTTATAAGTATGTTTTGTGTAACTACCCCACTTTTTACTTACCTCTGAGAATGTCATAATACTTAGATTTTACCTATAATGCACTTGTTGAGGCAGAATACTTTTATTCTTCCTAAAACCATGGTATTGTTTTCCTTGATTGCTTTTCAAATGTCTGTAAGTAAACCAAAAGTCTGTTACCCATATTTTGCCCTTGTGATATCAAGGTTGTATTTAAATGACATTTTTTTAACATTTCGGTATTCCCTTGTGTTTTTTCTTTGACGTTTTATATAAAAACAATTCGTTAAAAAATACTGCTGAATACAAACTAAATACAAACTTTCATGCCTTGGATAAATCGGGTGTATTTATTTACACTTTTCTATGACCTTTCTATGATTCATCATTTCTCGTACTCTTTATCGATAAGCATTTACTTTTTAATGACTTTTTACTTATATTCCAATATATATTCATATTGACATTCAGTTAATCCTTATGATTACGAATGAATTAATCCTTAAACAGTGGTTATGCCCCTTTAGTTATGTATTTCAGAAAAACGGCCCGAGGTTGACGTCAACATGTCATTATGTTTTATTGTCTATGTATATAGGTTTAACTTGGTAGGTACATTCGTATTTGTACATTTTGTATTTTCCCAGACATTCTTTTTGAAAAATTCCAAATTGCACATGACAAAAAACCATCTTTTTCAGTGATATAAATTCGGTTTATCTGGTTTAAATATGAGGAAAATATAGCAATCCCAAATCAATAAACAGGATTTTGGCATATAAATGAAATTACAAATATGAATGTTCTGTCAATATTTGAATATGAATAGAAGGAATGGGTTGGGTAATTAAAGATAACATTTCGATCAAATTAAATATTAATATTGTACTGGTCAAATACCGTTCATATAACAACGTAGTTTGTAGTGATGTATTTTTCATTTAAAGCAAACATACCTACTGCAATCATTTACTTTTTTCCAGATGGCAACCGGCGACAAATGGGCTCCTCGCTCAAATCGAAGTCTAAACAATGATGTGATAGGTATGCAACTGAATAAAGTCATATTCCAAGTATCACAATGCATTTTCAGTAAACATATAAAATTATTTTATCATTCACTGGAATAGTGTTATAGAAACTAATCGGATGAGTACCAAATGGACTTTCATTTCTAGTCTGACGAGATGCAATTATCACACTGAAATCTAATTAGTCTTGTGTATAAAACGTACAAACCTTTTCTGCAAACATAAATAGACATTAAAAACATTGAGTACTTACTTATAAAGAGAGCATATTAAAATATCATATTTAAAGCCGCATCAGTCCTGCTTTAATTAGATATAATGTTAAATACCATATATCATCTTATATAGTTCGATTCCATGTGTAAACTTTTATTTTGTAGATGTTCTGGGTGATTTGCGGATTGTTTTAGTTGGTACAACTGGTACAGGCAAAAGCGCCACAGGGAACACATTGATTGGGGAGAAGGTATTTAAATCCTCATCAAGCCGTGAATCTGTTACTAAGGAATGCAGTGTTGACGAAATAGAAAGATTTGGCAATAAGCTAGTGGTAGTTGACACACCGGGGATTTTTGACACTACTATGAAGGAAGAAGAATTGAAGATTCAGCTGATGGAATGTACTTATCTAGCCTGTCCCGGAGTCCACGCTTTCCTCTTTTTGATGAAAATAGGACAAAGGAACATAGCGAACAAAGACGGGGAAGCATTTCATTTGATAAAGAAGTTGCTTGGTGAAGAATTTCTTTCACATGCAATTGTTGTTTTTACTGGTAAAGAAACACTCGACGAAGATGGCGATGATGTCGAAGAGTATATTTCTAACCTTTCAGATGACTGTAAAAAGTTCATAAAGTCATGTAAAGGGGGTGTTGTTGCTATTTCAAACACGAGTCGGAATGCTGAAAAGGAAAAATCGGCCGAGCAGATTATTGACAAGGTCAAAAAACTTGTCAAACAAAATGGTGGAAGGAGCAAGTATTACAAAAACGCATTGTTTGATCAGAAAAATAACGAGATCAACAAAAGAATGGAACAAATTCTGAATGAAAACCACAAAATCCAAAACAAAATTAACCGGGCCCACGAAGAATTGGAATCTTTAAAAAGGAAAAGTAAAGATGGAAAGCCAACAGAACAACAATACAAAGAGCAACAAAAACTTAAGAGACAAATTGTTGACCTTCGGAACGCACTTGTTGAAAGAAAAAAATGGCGATTAATAGCTAATGACAAAATGAAATATGAAAAAAGGAAAGAGATCCTTGTTGGCGTCGCTAAAGTTGCAGGCGGGGCCGCTGTATGTGCTGGTGTACTGGCAGTGGGCCCAACAACAGTCGTTACCGGAGTCATTGCTGCTGTAACTCAACTGAAAAAATGATTTGTTCATTTTGAAGACTTCATAATCTAAAAAACATTTACCAACAATTCGTTAGATGACATAAACATCAACAATATCCTAAACCACAACTCTGGAGAAGTTTACATTCCACCTTGCTTCATATCGTTTATTCCTCATCGGCTTAAAATCAAGGACACTGCTTGTTTTAATTGGAATGTCGCACAAAACTTCCTCTTATAATAACCATTAAGCAGCGAGTAAACGGAATAATATCTATCAATGTTAGTGTGTAACGCATTATTCATTTATTAGCAATAAAATGAATAACTTGATGTAAATAAAAGAAATATTCAGTTTATAAACTGCTTATTCATAACACAGCATTCACTGAGTTATATGTAATTTGTAGACTTTGGTAAGTGCTTATTCTTTCTAAGGACTTTTATTGAGCGAGAAAAAGTGAGGTTAAAATTCTTACTGGTGTGTGATTTTTGACATTATTTCAAAATTCTTTTTGCTGTTTACAGTCAATGGTTAATTGTCCAGGTTACAATATACTATTTTAGTTTCCAAATATCTTCATCAGTTCTAAGAGGTTAATGGCCATGAGGTTTTTTTTTGCAAGTTTGTTCAATTGAATGATCGTAACACACTTTCTAGGTCAAATTTCTAAAAACAGAATATTTTGAAAATAGTGTAAATATGAACAATATTTTTGGTATTACATGAAAGCCACTAATGCGCATTTTCACTCAGGAACCAGTTTTAGGTAAGAGGCTACCTTTCAGTTTTCGGTAGTGGTTATCCTTTCAGGTCCTGAGAGCCCTAGGGTCATGCTTTTTAACAAAGGAAGCTGACATTAACGGCTGTCAAAGTTGTTCATACACAACGTCATAGTGATGAAATGTGTTGATATTTATAAAAGATACTTCTTCTTAACCTCTTAAGGTAAAAAGGCTATGATAACTTAACAGGAAATATCTCAGAAAATCGGATATTAAAGGTATTTATGAACAACTTTGCTCTTTATTCAAAGTCACGAGGTCCAAATATGTTAAAACAATTTAATCGATTCTTTTCAAATATAAGAGGCAGAAATTCGTGTCATTTTAACAGTTTGTAGCTGCAGTGGACGACTATCAAATTTGCTTATTTGAATGAACATGATTTACATTCAAGCTAACAGGGGTCAAACATATTTACATTTTTAAATGACTATTCCCCTAGCTCAAGTAGGCCTAGCATAAGTAAATTTTACCAGTATGTAGCTGGTATAAAAGGCTATCAACCTGTCGACATAAAGTACCTTTATCTTTATTTACGGACACATTTTTCAAACAAATCATAATATTTACAAAAACTGTTTTCTGATTTAAGACGGTCTAAGTTTGCATATTCTATTCTAGTTTTATGGATTTGGTGTTTGAATGATTAATTGATCCTTCTGTATTCTCTTGTTGTATTCGTTGTCATAAACAAATAACAGAAATACACGGATAGTACTCTAATTCAGTTTAATATTACACAACAATATTTAAAAGCTCCAATAGGCAAGATTGCCTGATTACCAAATTGTATTTCATTCAAGACTAAAGCATAATTATATAACTATTCATCTGATTCACTTACATGTCTATAGCGACTTTGGTTCGTGTGTTTCAGATACAGAGTAATTTCTCTTTAGCCACATTCCTAGGCCTAAAATGAGTTTTTTAATAGGCTATAATACTCCCAGATAAAGGCATTGAAATGCTCCATATCAAACTTGTCGAACCTTGTTATAGTTAAGGTAATACGGGTGTGACAGAGTTCAAAGGTCAGAAAAAGTTTAAAACCGATGAAATATAAGACTATACAAAACACAGGTAAAACTGGGGGGAGGCAAAGGTGTATGTTCCTTATTGAGTCTCGCTCCCCTGCACCGAGCATTGGGGTATAATATTTGTTTTTAATACAAAATAGAATCCATTTCGCCCAGGGATGTTTCCTTCCAGATTGAGTAAAAATATATCTGCTATTATTTCAGAGTGTTTAGAAGTAGTGTTTAAAAATATTTATATTTCATCGTAGGAAACACCCTTCATGTATGCCAAACGCTTTAAATTTAAAACAGGAACGCTTTATGCTAAATGGAGGCATCATTTCTGCAGCATTTGAAAGAAACAGTAAAACACCGAAAGAACACTTTTTACAGAAAACTGGGTTCTCATCTCTCCTCAAAACGGACTTTGATGCCATCTTTGGCTTGTAGTGTCATCAGTGGGGTAGGAATGACTTCATGGTCTTCGTCCAACACGACCTTGAATCTGAATGAAAATAAAACGGCACAGAGTACGATATTTACAATAGCCTCTTTAATAATAAAGAACAAAGCGCTTGTTTTTTATTTCACTTCCACACTTTCCATTCAGCGATGCCTCCCCATGCACTAATAGTCAGCCCTAATTGTCAGCATATTGCTGCTCTTAAGAAGCAAACAAACATTTTGACTTTTGATAGTGACCTTGACATATATTCCAACGTCATATAAGCTGCTTATTTAAACTGGCAATATAACGTCTCAGACAAGATAATTATTATTGACCATGCCATATCATAATATGTCCAGGAGTCCTATAAAAATGCGTAAATCCCTATATATAGAAACGATTTAATGAAATATAAAAGGTTTTAACCGTTTTATCATTGCAATTTAAAGTAAAGAAGGTACAAAGCCAAAAGAATATGTACGAAAAAGGACAAACACACGTACCTTTTAAGTATTCTGGCCAATAATACTTTCAGTTCGTTCATCGCAAAGGTTTTTCCAATACAATTCCTGAGAGAAGTCAGACGTTATGCACGTTTAAGGAGCACTCCTAACTCCGCTGAAAGCTGTCAATACTAATGAAATTTAAATTTCTAGGGATTCACTTCAAGTAGTATGGGACCTTTCAATTGGGCTCTTAATACCCTTGTTGATGATGGTTGTTCAAATGAAATTCTGTATTTATAAAATGGAGGGTAACTATTCTCAAAAGCACTTGTGTTAAATACTACATTTCGAACGCTTATTTAAAAAGATTTTACTTTCAAAGGTAAATATCTGTATTGATATATATATATAGAGAGAGAGAGAGAGAGAGAGAGAGAGAGAGAGAAAAAATAAAATTAACGACCGACTAAAATACTAGCTGCTTTCACCCTTCACAGGGCTCAAATTAACACACAATGAGCCCTGTTTTTAAATGATTTTGGTTTTAAAACCAAAAAAACACACAATGAGCCCTGTTTTTAAATGATTTTTAAATCATTTTTAAATGATTTTTCAAATGTTTTTAAATGATTTTGGTTTTAAATGAAAACCTGTGAAGGGTGAAAGCAGCTAGTTTTTTAGTCGGTCGTTAATTTTATTTTTTCTATATTTACTTCCTTCACATGGACATTTAATCACTTTTTATTATTATATATATATATATATATAGTTCTGGCAAATTAAACCATACTTATTGAAACAAATGAGAAAATATTTAGGTTCAGGAAATTTAGAAAAAAAAATATCTAAGCATTATTACCCTTTATTTTCAAATTTATGTTAAGACAAAAATAAACAATATCACAGAGAAATCGCAATATATAAGGTACTACTTGATTCAACTCTCTTTTTTGATGTGTATTGGTTTCACGCAGAATTGTACGTAAAATTATCATGAAGCTACTTTTTGACATTTAACTGCCTTAACAAAAAACAGGTTAATCTGACAGAATTGTTAATACAGTGTATATGTTTACGCAAAATATGGCAATTTTTGTATTTATTCGAGTTTGTTTCTTGCTTTATGTAAGTTAATATAAATATTGGAGATACCAAATTTCTACTGTTATATCTCAAAGACAATATGTGTATAACCTACATCTGTATACATTTAATTATCTTAAATATCCTTGTGATCCCTGTTAATTCCCTTTGTTTTACTTATACGGGATAATTATGTAATATCGGAAGTATATTAATCCAAAATGGCCGATTTCGTACACCCAATGTGATTACTTTGACACATCATTCGGGTTCAAAGCTAATTTAAAATTCTAGCATTTCTTGTCCACAAAAAGGTCAATATATCACCAGATACACCCTAAAAGATAATAATAAAAAAAAAAGTATGAGTCGTCATGAAATAAGTACACATTTAAATATGGCACATCACTGTATTATTTGAATAACTTTAACAAAAACATAGGCAAACAAACCTCGGTCCAGCTGCGAACGGTATAAAAGCGTAAGGACGTCTGTTTTCTGTATTTTCTGGTAAAAATCTCTCCGGACGAAATTCCTGCAAAAATAAAAACGTGTGTTTGGATATTTCTTTTAAAATATATATTCTCTATCTGTAAACAGTCAAGAAAACAACAATCTTCATGTGTTGTGATTAAAATACGAGAAGGTTATGAGTTTGTTCGAATAGAATTGCCAACAGTCTAAAGAACTTAAAAACTATTAACCTGGGACACATTTGCATGTCACGGCACGACACTATGTTGTATCTTTGAGCAAGATACTTTACTCCACTTGTTCCAGTCTATTCAGCTGTAAATGAGTACGTAGTTGTGCAGTGCAAGAATTGTAGAATGCTAGCTGTGAGCGCCGAAATGGCAGCACCGGCTTTATGCTCCCCAGGGAGTCGATAAAGATATTTACTAGTTGCAAAGGCCCTATAACTACGGATAATAATGTGTGAACCGCTTTGAGACGATAATAATAATAATTCGAGGTTCTTATATACTGTTTTATCACAACCTAGTTCGTAGGTCGTCTCAAAGCGATTCACACATTATTAACCGTGTACATAAAAGTCAACAGGGTCTTTGAATGCATTCTGAGCATTCTCAAATGAGAACCATTCAATGTTAGATCTAGACAAAACTATTTAATTTATGTAATGTATCTCAAAAGCAAAAAGATCGGACGACTGTATTAACAATTGAATGATGCATTAAAAACGAGTCAAATTATCTGTCTTGGTTAATTAATCCCTAGAACACTTACAGTTGGGTTTGGGAAGACATCGGGTCGGTAGTGAATGGCAACGATACTGACGTGAATCAAATTTCCTGCGGGGATTGTCACACCTTCGATATCTAGTGGCTTTGTCAAAGATCGGGTAGTTGATCCTGCTGGTGGATACATCCTTAAAGTCTCATGCAAAAACATCGACATCTTTTGAAGTTTACCAAGATCTTCCCTATAAAGAAATTGAAAGATATTGATGTAATGTCCATCTTATATAATCAGTACTTTAGTATGTACCCAACCGGAACACGGGAAGTAACTCTTTACTAATAAAGTTAGTAATGTAATAACCAGCATGGTCTCCGGAGTTGTGTGTTCGCCATTTATGAATCTGCTTTGTAATTTATCGGCTATCATTAGAGTCGTTACCACAATTACCACGAACATACACATAAACATGCGTCTTCGATATCCACGGAACAACTAATCTATAAGATGAATGATCGTTCGAAAATACAAACGCCCCTACAATCAAGTTGGCAAACCTAGTTTGGACGTTTCAGATAGATTTTCAGATGTTGCAGTGTGAATATTTCTTGTTTAACATGTCGGTGTGATAAACAAGGAAAAGTATGAGATATAGCAAGTTTCTGATTCATTCTCGGCCAGGCTTATTTCCTATGGCGTTGTCACGGAAAATATACCCAGCCACAGGAGACTAAAGTAGTGGAAACAATGGATTTAGGTAAGTTTTCTATTATCAAACTGATTAACTAGTACAGGAAGATGAAAATTAAATTTCACTTCAAATAAAGATATTTATCACATGGTCTATAGAATTTTGACGACTTTGTATTCTGCTGTTTCAGAAGACAATTTCCAAGTACTCTGAACTGCCATAACTGCTTACGGTAGAACGATACCTTAACGACTAAATCATCATGACAACGATATTGTACGGTATTATGACCAGGGGTCCAAGTTGTGATATTTCATAATAATTCGGTTTATTTTAAAAAGAAAATCATCATTTTCTTACCACTCTATGTTCTTCCGGTCTCCCGTTAGGTCACACACTTCCTGGAAAAGTGTTTCTTGTTCCTCTGGGTACTTTCCAAGGTTGTATATGGCCCAACCCATTGTTGCCTTAGTAGTTTCATGTCCTGGAAGAAGAGACACAAATGGAGGTAATACCTTCGGGTGTTCCGATAGCCATCATCATCACGACGTTATAATGTATTATTTCCTAAAACCTCTGCTGTACCTGAATGGCTGGTAATTGTCTTTATATAGATATATTATCTCATCAGTAATAACGAAAGTATGATCCAATATTGGCACTGGATCCGAACTAACAAATGTTTGTTGGATGTGTATTACTTAAATAGATAGATGGGCAAAGAAGTAATAAAGACAGTGCAGACAAAGAAATTTGTCAAATGTTCAGGGCGATCTGCCCCTTTATCAAGACAGGAACTTGAAAATGTACATATCACAACATAAAACAGAGAAAAACAGTCACCATGAGACAATAATACAATTCAAAAAACATAAACAAAATTTGACAAATCTCTTTGTCTGCACTGTCTTTATTACTTCTGAAGATAGTCGATACACGGCTTGAAAACGTTAGCGATAATCAACTTTATTTGCTTTGTTGATCTTTTATGCTCACATATTTAGCGATACACATTGTGTTCATCAAACTGAACTATTATATCCATCTTTTTTCTGTCTCAGTATATATCGTTTTGAATAGTTTCATGGTGACCGACTATCATTTTAATTATCAATCCGATTTTTGCATTTTGATTTCTTATATTTTGTTAAACTTTTTCTCGTTATGTATTCCAAAATATTACATGAACGTTTATTTAAATGTAAGACTAATTTTAAATATATAATATAATAATATTAAGTATATATTTATACGTTTGGTCCTATACAACACTTCTTGTTCTTAGAACCGTTAATAAAATCCTTGTTTGTGACATGTCAGCCTGCTTATTTGTATTTTAAAAATCATCTACCGTTAGGCTTATGTAGTATAGGTACTTAAGAAACTTAGATAACATACCTGCAAACATGAATGTATTGACCTCATCACGGATCTCCTCATCGTTCAGTCCTGATCCGGATTCGTCTTTAGCTGTCATTATGATATCCAGAAAATCCAGCTTCTTTTTTTTCTGAAGTAACGACGGGTCATCTGTCTGATAGCAAACATAAAACATATATATTAGAATGTTATATCAGTTAATGTTATGCATTGATATAAAGCATCCTCTGTAACGGATTCGTTCTGATCTACATAGTAATTGGAGTTGGTAAGTACAGATTGTATAAAGGTTTATATAGTAATTGGAGTTGGTAAGTACAGATTTTATAAATGTTTATATAGTAATTGGAGTTGGTAAGTACAGGTTGTATAAAGGTTTATATATTAATTGGAGTTGGTAAATACAGATTGTATAAAGGTTCATATAGCACAACCAGTTAATTTGTTAATGCTTGAAGTATCGATGACTGTCGGGTTCTTCAGACTGATGACACAATAACAGTTCACTGGTTTACAATAATGAAATCACGAGTAAAATAAAAATAAAAATGGAGTTTTAAAAAAAGGCCCAAACAATCACGACCTTTACAAAATGGCTGCCTCGTCATTTCTGTTTAGTCAGGTTTCTGTATAGTGACGCGTCATGGGAACATGCCAACAAAGTTCGCAGTGTTTTACTAAGCTTTATAATTTAGTTATAGCGAGATAAATATTTAGTTTTTCAATAAAATATGAACATCCTGATTGTTAAAGAGTGTTTAAAATTGGGGAAAGAACGTTGTTTTTCGTGTCTATACAGGCAACTAGAATATGAGATTTTACTGAAACTTTCGACATTATCGTCTCGTGTTCAAACCCAATTTTAATGTTCTAAAATGACGTACATTCCCCTTATTAAATCATTGAAGTGATCATATGATGTCTTTAATCACAGATATTATTTATATCACAAAGTGTAGAACTTGGTTTTTACGATAGAATTTGAAATAAAAAGATATTTACTATATAGATTTCTAGTTTACCTTAGTAACATATGAGCATATTACAAATTACAATTACTAGTAAAATGCATGATGCAACACAATTAAACATTGTCATTACCTTAGGTCTAAAATAAGGACAGATCTAAAATTATAAATTGGAGTGTACGTACTATAGCCTTTTTTCGTTTTGCAATTATTTCGTCAGCAAATCTATGCACGTAGTTCACATGTTTCATGTACTCTTTTCCAGTGGCAGACATCTTGTAGAGAATCAAAGATAGGAAGTACCATGGTTTACTGTAATTAAGGAAAACGATGAAAGTAAAAACTAAGAAACATGATAAATTACAGTGCCAAAATAGCTTCAAATGTGTTGTCAATTGTTTTTGCTTATTGTAATAAGGATATGTTGTTATCATCTATATTAATATGCTATACCCGTTGTCATTTTAAGTAGCGGCATTTCACCTGATTCGCTCCATGGTAAGTTTCATAATCTCGTGGACGGCTTCAGTGTAAGGATGCTTCTCACTGGAATCAAGTAATCGAAATATATTAAGACGATGGCTATTTTTATCAACAATGAAAAAAGCCAAATAGGTTACAGCATAAGTTAACAGATTGTGTAATGACAAAAAGTTACTGAGAAATAAAGCACACAAACCAATTCTATTTTTATTGTGCTTTTATTACTTCCGCTTCTGATAGAAAAATAAATAAAACAGCTTTATTACTGAAATTAACATATGTTTTGCTTGTATTGCTATTTATCAATTAATAATCGTTTTCAATGAACTGTCAAGGGTTACATCATAAGTACGACTAGGTCGAACAAACAAATAACTTTTTTCCTTCGATTATAGAAATTAAGACTGATTTGAGATACACTTTCACATTTTGATACTTATATTGTTAACAATTTCGAAATACTTTGATTGATTGTGTGAGTGTTTTAGAAGCATACTTACTTTTCCTGGATATTTTCATTACATGATAGAGAGCACCGCAAAATGATATTCAGAGTAGCCAGGTTTAAAGAGTGCATTATATCAACACTTAATATTTATTAGAACAAATTTGTAAGTATTATGTTTGTAGTAAATAATTACATTAATGGTAATTGTTTGATACCAAGGAGTCAGCATACATATGCTAACTCCTCGTGAGATTATAATGGTGACCTTTAATCATGTCTCTAGTCTATAGTTAGTTTGTACGTCAACGTTTTACAGAACAAAACTCGTCATGCTAGTGGCAAGCAAGTGAGTATTGAAACAACTGTGAAATGCAAACATCGTCGGCGAGGAAATCAGAGATGTAACTACCAAGAAAAAAAAGTTCACGAATGAAGAATTCAATATGACGCTTATCATACAGTTTTGTAATTAAGACATAAAAGACATTGACAATTGGAAAAATGTTTATGTCTTTTATACGGTATGACTATTGAGTGTTGATGGGTCTTTTTGATCTTAAAAATAATATTGAAATCCTAGCAATACGTAATTTGGTTTGTTTTTTCATCAATTTTTATATGTGATTGAAAGTTAAAATTTCATACCAATAAAGTATCCACAGCTTCGTTGTATATGTTGACATAGGGACGCAAAACTTCAAAATGGAAAGCGGCTGTGATCAACTTCCTGTTTCGTTCCCATTTCGAGCCACTACTGACTACTAGACTATTTTCACCTCTCAAAGATAGCAATTGGAAATATAAACATCAATTATAAATGACAACATAACCAAATATAAACTCATGATTCGAAGAAGACAATTTTGATGTAAACATTTTACAGAAATTAATATGTAAGTAAAAATTTAGTACTGACATAATTTTTTGTCAAAGTTTCGAGATAACGCGAGCGTATGTCACAGCACAAACATTATAGGAACACATAAAATATAAAATTAGTTACATAGAGAATAGAAAAAATAGTTACAAAGCTACCTATGAAGTAAAGCAATAGTGCTTTGCATTTAGCTGTCGGTTCGAAGCCAGTCGAAGACCAATCTTTTTAGTTTACCGCAGGAATTATTCGAGGAAATGAAAAACAAATCGGCAAACGTAAAAACAGAACGTGAAGAAGACAGCACAAGATACGGCTTGGTGCGTCTTAAAAGGAAGAAATCCCTAAAACAATTAAGGTATAGATAAGTATATACCAATTGAATACCGATGCTTGATCGATAGACATATTTTTTTTGCCCTCGGTGTGTTGGCTAAATACAGCACATGCTTAGCTAATAAACACCAGCAACTCAAAGCACTATAAAAACACAACTTTCCCAAAAAGGAATATATATATATTAACATAAATATTTTACAGTGAAGACACTGAAAGTCAAAATCGTCTTTCCTTTTTGGACACACTTTCATTTTCAAACACATACATACCCTTTGAATAGAGTTGAACACTCACTTGGTTTATCATGTGAAATTCCAAAACAAACACAACGTCCCTATACTCAAAGTTAAAAACCTAACACGGTCGTACAAAGTTCAATTTTGGATAATCCTTAAAATCGTTTTAGAATTTTTAGTCTTCTTTCGTCATCAAAGGAAGTAAAGCGGTTGGGTTATAGACGTACTAACAATATATAACGACCTTTGACCCGTTATTGACAGTATGAGACTAAGTCACATTCATTTGAAAATATATATAGGGAGATACCGCTGAAAAGAAAGTAGAAAAGAGAAAGAAAAGCCTAAAGTGTTGCATTAGCAATATCAAAAGGAAAAAATTGTGTACGGGTACATTTTTTGGCAGATTTTCAGTTGTATTGGTGCCTAGTTTGAATCAATTGCACAGTACGGATAAGTGTGCTCCGATAGAAAGATATCACTTAGATGTTAGGAATTTAGGAAATGTGTTTGCTGTTATATGACTTGCTATATACCAGCGTGAAGTTGGTTACTTATTCAATATTGGGCTAGTTTGATATTCAAATGTACCTAACATAATAGTTCTTATGCCGCTTTTTCACCCCTATACCACAACTGGGCATCATCTAAGGTATCCACATGCAAAACGTCATCAACGATACCCCAGGCTAAAGATAACCACTGGACATAATTTCTAATTTCAGTACATAATAGTTAATTTTTGGTTTTCAACAGGCCACGGGATATTGTTATAGGTCTTATGCCTCTTTTTCACACCTATACCACAACTCGGCATCTTCTAAGGGATCCACATGCAAAACGACATCAACGATAACCCAGGCTAAAGATGCCCACTGGGCATCATTTCGAATTGCAGTACATAATCGTTAATTTTTCGTTTTCAACAGGCCACGGGATATTGTTATAGGTCTTATGCCTCTTTTTCACACCTATACCACAACTGGGCATCTTCTAAGGTTTCCACATGCAAAACGGCATCAATGATACCCCAGGCTAAAGCTGCCCACTGGACATAATTTCGAATTTCAGTACATAATCGTTAATATTTCGTTTTCAACAGGCCACGGCTTATTGTTATAGGTCTTATGCCTCTTTTTCACACCTATACCACAACTCGGCATCTTCTAAGGGATCCACATGCAAAACGACATCAACGATAACCCAGGCTAAAGATGCCCACTGGGCATCATTTCGAATTGCAGTACATAATCGTTAATTTTTGGTTTTCAACAGGCCACGGCATATTGTTATAGGGCTTGTGCCGCTTTTTCACACCTATACCCCAACTGGGCATCTTCTAAGGTAGCCACATGCAAAACGGCATCAACGATAGCCCAGGCTAAAGATGCCCACTGGACATAATTTCTAATTTCAGTACATAATAGTTAATTTTTGGTTTTCAACAGGCCACGGGATATTGTTATAGGTCTGATGCCGCTTTTTCACACCTATACCACAACTCGGCATCTTCTAAGGGATCCACATGCAAAACGACATCAACGATAACCCAGGCTAAAGATGCCCACTGGGGATCATTTCGAATTTCAGTACATAATCGTTACTTTTTCGTTTTCAACAGGCCACGGCCTATTGTTATAGGGCTTATGCCGCTTTTTCACACCTATACCCCAACTGGGCATCTTCTAAGGTAGCCACATGCAAAACGGCATCAACGATAGCCCAGGCTAAAGATGCCCACTGGGCATCATTTCGAATTTCAGTACCTAATCGATCATTTTTCGTTTTCAACAGGCCACGGCTTATTGTTATAGGTCTTATGCCTCTTTTTCACACCTATACCACAACTCGGCATCTTCTAAGGGATCCACATGCAAAACGACATCAACGATAACCCAGGCTAAAGATGCCCACTGGACATAATTTCTAATTTCAGTACATAATAGTTAATTTTTGGTTTTCAACAGGCCACGGGATATTGTTATAGGTCTGATGCCGCTTTTTCACACCTATACCACAACTCGGCATCTTCTAAGGGATCCACATGCAAAACGACATCAACGATAACCCAGGCTAAAGATGCCCACTGGGCATCATTTCGCATTTCAGTACATAATCGTTAATATTTCGTTTTCAACAGGCCACGGGATATTGTTATAGGTCTGATGCCGCTTTTTCACACCTATCCCACAACTGGGCATCTTCTAAGGTAGCCACATGCAAAACGGCATCAACGATAGCCCAGGCTAAAGATGCCCACTGGGCATCATTTCGAATTGCAGTACATAATCGTTAATTTTTCGTTTTCAATAGGCCACGGCATATTGTTATATACCTTATGCCGCTTTTTCACACCTATACCCCAACTGGGCATCTTCTAAGGTATCCACCTGCAAAACGGCATCAACGATAGCCCAGGCTAAAGATGCCCACTGGGCATCATTTCGAATTGCAGTACATAATCGTTAATTTTTCGTTTTCAACAGGCCACGGGATATTGTTATAGGTCTGATGCCGCTTTTTCACACCTATACCCCAACTGGGCATCTTCTAAGGTATCTACATGCAAAACGGCATCAACGATAGCCCAGGCTAAAGATGCCCACTGGACATAATTTCGAATTTCAGTACATAATCGTTAATTTTTCGTTTTCATTAGATGTTAGGAATTTAGGAAATGTGTTTGCTGTTATATGACTTGCTATATACCAGCGTGAAGTTGGTTACTCATTAAATATTGGGCTAGCCCAATATTGAATAAGTAACCAACTTCACGCTGGTTTGCTATATAACCAACGGTTACAGAAATAAATCCTAAATTTAACTATTTAGTGACCATTCTCTTATTGAAATTCAAAATGATAACAGAGAAATTATTGAGCATTTGAAAATGTTTATAGGGAGATACCGATGAAAAGAAAGTAGAAAAGAGAGAGAAAAGCCAAAAGTGTTGCAATAGCAATATCAATAGGAAGAAATTGTGTACGGGTTCATTTTTTGGTAGATTTTTTAGTTGTATTGGTGCCTAGATTGAATCAATTGCACAGTGCGGATTAGTGTGCTCCGATGGAAAGATAACACTTAGATGTTAGGAATTTCGTAAATGTGTATGCTGTTATATGACTTGCTCTATAACCAACGGTTACAGAAATAAATCCTAAATTTAACTATTTAGTGAGCATTCTCTTGTTGAAATTCAAAATGATAACCGAGAAATTATTGAGCATCAACAATAAGAGGTTTCACCACATTTTCTTCTTTTTACATACCATTCAATGGTCAAGACAAACAATGGAATAAACAGATAAACTACTGGCTTATATAGCTAATCTGATTCCATGGATGGATTTATTTGGATAAAACCTGCCTTTACACAGAAGTCTAGACTTCTCGCTACATGTTCCATTTACTTTAACCCTTTCACCCCTATATAACTTTAGTAGACTCTACCATGCATTGATCTGGACCATAATGATATACAGTGGTGAAAGGGTTAACAGACCGTTAAAAAGTATGCAACACTAAACAAATCTATAAATATCATTCCACATATTGTGATCTCTGAAAGGCGCGTATCAACTGCCATTCAGTGTATTTAGGATAAATACACCTGAGGTGTTACTTAGTATTCTCACCAAGATAAATACACCTGAGGTATTACTTAGTATCTCACCAAGAAATGGT